AGGGGAGGCCCCAGGTGTGGCTGATTGTGTGCCCTCAAGGCCCTGACAGCAGCCTCCCCGCTCAGCCCACCCCCTCTGTTTTCGCACTTTACAGGGGTCTGGGCTCAGGAGGGACTTGCTGTACAGTGATTTTTAATTGCTGTGGGGTCTTGGGGCTATTTAAGGGAGCAGAGGCCTGAGACAAGTCACTGGGAGGGGGATATGACATGAGAGATTTGGGGATGGGGATAGTCGGGCTGCCCATGGGGGGTTCCAGGGGTCAGAAGGCCTTGGGGGTAAAGGGGAGACATTGAAACCACCCCTGAAAGATCCCCAGAGGCTGGGTAGTACCGGGGGGGTTTCATTCAGGAGCCCGGGGTTGAGTAAAAGTCAGATGTATCTCAGCGATTGCCAGGCAGATTGGCAGTGATGAGACAGGTTTGAGGTCAAGTGGGTGCCTAGCAGGTTGTGGTCTCATATCCCATGCAAGGTCCTTGGCCCTGAGGGGTGCACGGGCGGGTGGCAACGGTGACCTGCTGTGTGGCATGTAGCCAGCTGCTCTCTCGAAGGTGCGGACTGGTGGTGTGAAAGAGGAGAAGCACCAAGGTAAAAGAGGAGAAGGTGGTAACAGTCTAGTACTGGAGGCAGCGTCGTCATTCCTGAAACTGTCTTTTTGGTCCAGGACAGGTGCCTGGCTGACTGCAGCTAGCTGGGGGAATTCTGCATCGTTCCCTCTTGCCAGATCTCCTGTGCCTTCTGGTTGGGTTGCAGCTGCTGCAGAGACACGGAGAGAAGACTTTTTCCTCCTGCATAGTGAAAACTTGTTTCTTCCTAGGAGCATCGCTAATACGTGCTGGGAGGAGGATTCCCCAAACAGGCAGGCAGGGACGGCAGCTGGGGATGTTGAATGGGGAGCTATAAATCAGCAAGCTGCTAATTAAGACCACAGGAGGCTGGTAAGTTACTGAAGGCCTGTATTACTCTCTTTCAGAGCTGTGGGCCATTAATAAGATCCCTGGGACCTACTCCGAGCACGTGGCTCTCCAGGGACATTACTTGTGAGCACCCTATGTTGGGCATGTTCTCAGAGTTGAAGTTCCCTGTGCCCTGGGGCCACGTGGCAGCCAAGGCCTGGGGACCCTCAGAGGGACACCCTGTGCTGTGCTTGCACGGCTGGCTGGACAACGCCAACACCTTTGACAAGCTCATTCCACTGCTCCCCAGAGGTAGGTCTGGCCCCTCAGGACGGTTCTTGCTACGTTGCAGGGCTGCACATTTGATACTCTCTCCCTTTCAGATTGCTATTATGTGGCCATGGATTTTTCTGGCCATGGCTTGTCATCCCACCGACCTGCAGGCTCCCCCTACCATTTTCTGGATTACGTGAGTGATGTGCGCCGGGTGGCAGCAGGTGGGTAGTTGAAGGGACCCTTAAGGAGATACTTGTGCAGGGGATGCTATATTGCTCCTGCTCCTTGGAAAAGGCAGGCAGCATTTACTGCTAGGAGAGGGGTTAGTTCCCTCTGCTTCTCCCTAGCCTGATGTTAGCTGGTGCTTTGTGACCACAGATGGAATAAGCATCCTGTTTCTCAGTATTTTGTGAGAGGAAGAAACAATAAGCCCTGGGAAGCAAGTGTTTCTATACTAGAAAGCAGTAGTGGCGAAATGGTGGATGCAACTACATAGTTCTGCCAGGCTGACTTTTTGTAAGAAGCCAGTGACCTCTAACCACTGTTAGGTATAAATTGGAGACTTCTGTTTCTCCCTGATGACAGCTTGTTGCTTGCTTTAGTATCATACAAAGAAATCTGAAAGCCAGGGTGTCTTGGGCTCCTAATAACTCCTGATCTAACTGCCCACCTATATGATCTTGGGGGAGGCTGTGGCATGTGCAGTATTGCATCCCTCATTCACTATACAGAGAGCCTCTAGAAGTTCTTTGACATGGCAAAGGGTAAAATGCGCCTTTCAGTGAGATATATTCCATATGGGCAGCACTGATGAAGCGGTATTTTCCCGTAAGCCTCTTGGAGTGCCCTAAAAACGGACTGAAGATCCTGATGTGCTAAATGGTGCAGAGAGCTTTCACTTGGAATGATCATACTTTCCTCAAGGCAGTGGACCTGGCTCTGTGTCCTCCCAGCTCTTGCGGAATGCCCTGCAGTAGGATGCTCTGTCAAGGTCTCTCGCTTCCAGCAGATGCTGCCCAGTCAGGCTTCTTTGCTGCTTCTTGCCAGTCTTGTGTCTGGCAATGAATGGGAATTTGCTGTACTTTGCCATACAGAGAGAGCTTGAGAGCCTTGTGGCTTAACTACCAAGGAAATGAGGTGGTAGATGCTTTTTTTCTTTAAAAAAAGCCCTTACTTAGCCACCGTGTTTCTGGATTAGGAAGCAAATTAAGCAGTGCAAAAGCCCTCCTGGGAGAAGGGGCCCATATTGGTGGAGAAACGGCAAGGTGCCGCTGCTCTGGTTTCTAATGCAGCACTGTTTTTTGTCTGTTGCCACTTAGCCTTGCAGTGGAGACGGTTCACCCTGATGGGTCACAGTATGGGTAAGTGGCTCTTGTCCTTGTAAGCTGTGAGATTTGAGGAGCTGGATTGGAATATTTATTATATTGTGTCAAGTACCAGGTTCCTGTTTGTGAGTGATTACAAAATCCGTGCCCTTGTTTGAAATGCCTCTGCTTTCAAGACCCTGTAGTACAAACAGTGGTAACTCTTGCTGTGGGCCTTTCTCCCACCCCCAGGAGGGAACAGTGAGGAGTGAAGAAGGGTAATCTACGGCAGGAGAATTTGCAGCAGGCCTTTCTGCCTGGTCCCTGCAAGGCCACAAAGCCTGGGGACAGCAGGGCCCTTCTTGGTGGGTCGTGGAGCTTGTTGAGGGGAACTAGATTCCAGGGTCTATCTCTTTGTGCCTGGGACATGATTAGGTTTTGCCATGATTTGGGTTTTTGCTCCCTAGGGCTGCTCTGGCCATAGCTCACAGTACCTGTTCACCATACTGTTTCAACTAGTAACTCTTCCTTGGCCTTTGCTGCCTGAAAGGGAGATGGGGATGGCGCAGGATGGGGAGTCCAGCTGGCCAATAGCCCTGCTTTCTGCCTGCATCCTGCCTGCTGGGAGAGTTTTATTCTGTTGCTGGGGCTTTGTCCCTTGGTACAGCATGCATTTGTGCTCCTAAGGCAGCTCCTGCTGTGGGGAAGGGGAGTTTCTGTTACCAGGGGTGTCCAGTCCATAACTGAGCACACTTCTTTCCTTTACAGGTGGGTCTGTGGCAGGAATGGTGAGTAAAGCATCCTTTCTTCATCAGTTTTGTAATTTCTGCAGCTGGAACAACAAAGGGGAGAGGAATGGACAGACTGTGTGGGACTTGGATCTCAGGGGAGGAGAGGCCCTTCCCTGACCCCCTCTCCAGTGTAGCAGGATGAAGACATCACTCAATGCTCAGCTTTCTCTTTCTCTCATACTGTTTCGTCTCTCCTCAGTTCTGTTTCCTTTATCCTGAGATGGTGGACAAGCTGATCCTGCTGGAAAATCTTGGCTTTCTGCTAGCGCCAGAGGTTAGATTTCACGTGTCCTTCTCCCTCCCTTTTAAAAATAAAAAGAGATGTTTTTACTTCCCCTCATTTGTTCAGAGAAAGCACTGATGTGACCAGTTCCTGGCAGATCACACAAGTCTCAGGGCTCTTCCTTTGTAGGCATAGATCTGCTCCTTGTTGCATGGACTGAGGTCCCTGCTTAGGGTAGCCCTTGGGGGACACTTGGTAGTGCTACACAGCCTGCAATCCCTTAGCACCAAAATTCACTTGTCTGTGCCATGCCCTTCTACAAAGGGAACTGGGGCCTCTCTGTCCAAGCAACTGCCAGCCGAGGTTGTCTTTTTGCCAACAGCTTGTTGGGTGACCTGCGTGCAAGACTGGTGGATTTCTTTTTCTATTCCTGGCAGGACATAAAGCTGCATTCCCAACCTGCTACCAGATGCTGGGGCTTTGGTTGGCAGAAGTGGGACAGAAGTCCAGGGTCAGAGAGACAAAAGATACCAGATTTCCCTTGTTTTTTTGGACAGTTGTCCTCAACTCAGAAGTGAGGTAGAAAGGGGTAGGAAGAGATTGCAGGAGTAAAAGTTAAGTTCTTTACAGCAGTGCTTAGCTTTCTGTTCCTACCTTGCCTTTTAAATATTTAAATATCCTTTTTCCCCAGAAATGGGCATTTTTAATATGATGTCCATAACTGGTACCAGTTCTGATTGACGCTGAAGGGCAAAATGTCCTCTGCTACCCTCTGATAAGGGGTAGAACGATTCAGAAGAGAGAGGTTACTTGTGTTCCTTACCTCTCTTTGTTTCAGGACACTGAGGCATGGCTGAAATCAAAACGGATGGTGATTGACAGATTACTGAGTCTAGAGGCAAAGCAGCAAACTCCCAAAGCACGTAGCCCTGAAGCAGCATTGCAGAGGTGGGTTCCTATCTGTCCTCTTCATTTGCTGCCTGCCCTCACCTTGGACAGAGTTATGGCTACTTGAACCAGAAGGGGAAACTGTTCCTCTACTTCCCCTTTCAAGTCCTCCTCTGGAATTTCAGGAAGACCTTTTGCTTCTGCTGCTGATAGAAGCTGCTGTTGCTTCCTGCTCCTCTCTGAAGCACCCTGAGAGCTCCCTGTCACCTTGTCATGCCATTTTTGCTTGGCTTCTTCCCTTTCCCAGCAGAACAATCTCTCTGCCATGTCTCCCCCAGGCTCTTAGAAGCAAACAGACATCTGACAGCAGAGGGTGGGGCAATCCTACTGCAGCGAGGAGCAACTGAGACGCCTGCCGGTAAGGGGCTGCTTGGAGACAGGGCTCATCACAAGGCTGGGCCAATGCTGGGTGTGGGAAGGGAGCAGTGCCAACAGCCATTGTCTTCCACAGGGTACAGGGTGCCCTAGCTACAAGTTTATGCAGCCTGAATGGGATCAATTAGGTCTGAAGGCAGAGCACTCCCTTCCTAGCAACTGGGGTTGGTGCTCGAGTCCTAGAATGTGTAAAGAAAAGGAATCAAAAAAAGGGAAAATATGAATTAATCGTATTCCTCTTGTCTCAAAAAGTCTTGGGCAGACCCCAAAGGTCAAGAGAAGGAGAGCAACTCGTGCAATACATGAAAACCTTCTCTTGTTTTTTCATTCCAGGCCTGGTATATAACAGAGACATGAGAGTCCGTACGGTGAGCATTGCTCTTCTGATGTGCCCCCTGCCACTTCTGAGCCCTGAGCTTACAGAAGACTCGGAGATAGTGGAGGCCTGTTCACTAAGCCCAGGCCTTGCCTCCACCCAACTCTTTACTTTCTGCTTCCCTAATTCCCACATCTCTCTTAAATGCTGCTGTTAAAAGAGCCTGCGCTCAATCATTAACTGACTCAGCTTACAGTCACTGGAAAACGTTACAGATTATTTTTTTTTTTTAGCAATTCCTCTGCCCCAGGGCCTCCTGGCCACATTTTCCTGCTGTTATAACTCTTCAGGCAGCTGATGGATGGATGCTTTAGGTCAGCTTCCTTGTCAGGTCATCTGTATGAGAAAGGGGGAGAGTGGAGCAAAGTCCTTGTTTGATATTTTGATAGCTTTGTGCCACTTCTGAGCAAGTAGGGCTGCCTCTACCTGTGTTCCTGCCAGGCTATGAAAGCCAGAGTAGTGTACTGTCTCCTTTTTAGTAAAAGGATTTTTAAAGCTTTTCTCTGCTATGAGATCATTCCCATATGTGCTATATCCCAGCAGGCAGTGTTGCTGGCAGCCCTGAAACACAGCTGGACAGAAGGAGCCTTTGCAGAGCCAGTTATTCTTATGCGCAGCCTGGCCGCCTGTCATGTCCCAGCACAGCAGCTTCAGGGCCACAGCCACGTCTGCCTTCAGAGCTGCTAGTGTGGCAGGGGTCAGGGACACCCTCTGCCCCCAGCTGCTGTCCCTGACTTTGCCGCTTTCTCTATCTTTGCACCTGCAGCAGAATCGAGAGTCCTTCACAGTGGAGCAGTGTGTGAAGCTCCTGCAGAAGATTCAGGACCGTGTTCTCATCATTGTGTGAGTGAGGCACAAGCCAAACCAACCCTTGCTGCCTCCCTGTAGCCCTGGGTAGAGAGGTGAAGGTTAGAGAGGAGTCCTCTGCTACCCCTTCCTCTGCAGCAGCCACCCAGACCTTTGGGCCAGTTGGCACACCAGTACAGCCTCACATGTGAGAAGCATTTCCTAGCTCCCCCACCACTGCCTTGGGCTGGGCAGAGAGCAGCTGGCAGGTCCTCCTCCTGGCCTGGTGCTGCATTTTCAGGCTGGGCCTCCCTGGTGCAAGGCCGACCAAGGAACTGCCTGACCTGTCCTGTCCTCCCCACACTCATGCCTTCACATTGCTGTCCCATGACTTTCTGTCCCTTGGCCCCACAGCAAGGGACCATCCTGGCAAACGCACAACCCTCCACGGCACCACTCCTACTTGCTTTCCTCCTGGCCTGGCTCTTCCCCCAGTCACAGCAACCCAGCCTGCCCCCTTCTTCAGACCCCAAAACCTCTTCCCTGAGCGAACTGGTGAAGCCATGGCAGCTTCCACCTCCTCCAGCTGGTCCTGGAGCCCCTGGCCAGACCCAGCTATTGCAAGCTCTCCCCTGCAGTGCCAGGGGCAGGGAGGAGCTGTGGGGAGTAGCCAGGGGCTTGTGCAGAGCCACACATGCTGTTAAGCTGATTGTCAGTCCTCTGCATTTTTCCAATACCCTTGGAGGGCAAGATGTGCAGGCCTCTGTGGTGGTGTTAAAAGACTCTAGGAAATGAAAGGAAGTGCTAGAAGTTGAAAAATGATGTGCAGTTTTGGCTTTCCCGGTCTTTTAAAATTGTAAGAACTTCGAGATTTTCCTGCTTGTCCAGAAATGCAACATCATGGTGAGGACAAGTCCTCTAGGCCATACAGAGTACATGCCTTTGAGCCTGGGGTGTCACCTTGTCCCATCACCACCAGGACAGTTAGGAGACAGCATGATCTTAGCTCTGCAGGGAGGTCTAATGGTGGCTTCTCCAGGAGGACTGCCCTGATACCTCCCTCTCCAAGTAGCGCACACCCTGTTGAAAACAGAAGTATGGAATGGGGAAAGGGACAGAGGGGAGACATAGAAGCTGGCTGGAAGAAAAAAATGAAGAGCAGAAGACAGGGTGGGGGCAGGGACTGATGTACACAGACCAGTTAAGGAGCCAGCCCTGCAGGGTTTTAATCAGTCTCCACTCTGACGCTACTAGGCAGGCACCCAAGGTTTTAAACAGATAGTTTGATAGAAAATAGCTGCTTAGCCAAGCTGTGCCGTGCTCCTCTGACTACCCTGTATTACCCTGTAACCCTGCTGTTGAGAAGCAGCCTGGAAAGAGCAACTGGGTCTGTCACTCCACTGTCTTGGGGACAGGACAGCAGCAAAGACAAACAGAGGCACACTGCATGCTGTACTGAGGCTTGCTGTTGCTTTTCAGAGCACAAGATGGACTCTTGGTACCACACAAGCTCAGCAGCAGAAATCACTTTGTGAAAGCTCTACAGGAGGCAATTGAGTCTACCCTCAAAGAGGTGAGAGCAAATTCCATGCTTGCATCTCCAATGCATGTGCCACCAACCTGGGAGCAGCAGCTAGGAAGCAACTCACCTTGGTGGACACCCCCTGCTAGGTGATTTGTCCTGAACATCACAGTCCTCACATGGGTGGAAGCCAACTTTGCCCCTGCTGCTGAAGTCCCAAGTCAGTACTGCCCTCTGGACCCAGCTCTTCCCCAGTCCTCCCATCCCTGTCCTGCTTCACCCCCTGCACCCTGAATTGCCACACAGCAAGCACAGCTTGCCCAAAGGAACACTTGGTCCACATCTTATGTCTTCTCCCTCCAGCACATCCAGCTAGTAGAGGTGCCTGGGAGTCATTTTGTGCACCTGAATGAACCAGAGGTGGTGTCTGGGATCATCAGCAACTTCCTGACAGCACAGAATGCCAGAGCCAGGCTCTAGGAAGAAGGGTCACTGCTGCAGCAATCCAGGAGAACAGTGAGCTAAAAAGGAGGTTCTGGAGGAATTGTCACCATTCCTACCTCACACCCAACATCAGTTCCATGATACCTTTCCCAAGGCTTAGCTCACTGCAAGGTGGAAGCAGGTTTGCCAGGGAGTTCCCTGGGGGGACAGCTGAGCAAAATATCCCTGTTGTCAAAGGGAAAAGGAATCGGTCCTCCACTTTTAGCTCTGTGAGTACAGGGATAGATGCCCAGAGTGGCTTTCCCCTTGCTTTTTCCTAACTTGCACCGTGATATGGAGCAGGAATACAGGCAGAGGCATCTTCCATGACAGCAGCAGCAATACCAGCTATAGGTGGCTCATCTCAACTTCTCCCTGAGGATGGTGCAACCAGTCTCCTCCCAGGATTAGACCTGAAAAAACAGGAGCATTCTGCTTCTCTGCTTACTTCCATGGATGCCCAAGCTCAGAGGGCTTCAGTGTCTCTGTTCTACTGTGAGAGCTGCTGCTTGTTTAAAAGTCAGCTTAAGTAAGAGCACACCTGGGCACAGAAAGCCATTTTAATGAATGCCTAGGGAATGAGTCACTAATCCTCTAGCTGAAGCAGCTAGGAGAACTACTAATAATGGAAAAGTTGTCAGAGATTATTTCTGTCCTAAATAAAGATTAATCTTCCACCATTAACTCTGTCATCTTGACTGTATAGGAGAGTGAACCTCCTTTCTTTTGGGATGCTCACCCAAGCAGCTAAACCACCAGTCTTAGGAGGCAGTGATTCTTACATGCATTCTGCTTTAGGTAACAGCATATTAAGGATCCATCTGCCTCCTAGTTAAATTGATGCAAAAAGTTAAATAAAGCAAGCAGGTCTGGCAGTTTCCCCATACAATGGAAACTGCATTCGTAGTGAGTTTTCTAGAGGAGAATAAATCTGTTTTAACCCAGCTCTGTGGAATTTACCAGCATTTCCACCTTACATTCATGGTCACACCCATATCGAGGCTGCAGGCAGTAAAATAGATATGTAGAAGCCTGGGGCTGGGTGCGTTACAGCCCATTCTGATCACTGAGTGCACCGGGGTGAACAATTGTCAAGTATGAATCTCCACAAATATGACATGGGTGGTACAAATGCATTGCCCCACAGCTGGATGTGCCTGTTGCCATCCTTACCTGCCTCCTGTGGGCTGGTGACAGGTTAAAGTGGAAATGGGCCTTGGCAAGAGTCTGGTTTCTCCCTCCAAAGCAAGGCTGACCTCTCACCTTGTTCTAGTGATGGTGCTGAACAGCAGAAGTTGCCATAGCCCTGCCTGTAGAGGTCCACGCACAGCTGAAAAGACTGGGCACCTCAACACCTGCCTGGGAGGTAAACAGCAAAGGGAAGGGATAGCGCTCTGTACCACACCGCTGATCTTTGCTTGTGACAACAGGTCGGGGAACTTCCCAGTCGGGCTTTTCCCAAGGTCACTTCCTCCTCTTCTTACTCACCCCCAGATAATATGTGCCAAGGAGTACAGGCATACAAGCCACGACTTTAATCGCCACCCCAGCACACAAGAAGCTGTCCCCCACAGCAGACCACAGGAGTGAGAGGCATTCCCACGTTCTGAGAACATAGCAGCAGTTATTTACAGTTCTTCAGCCATTCACTGCCCCTGCAGAAGTGGTGCTAGGTCAATCCCAGCTCTCACCAAGCTTTAGGAGGGCCGTGGGTGTCAGGGAGATGTCACAGGTTGTCACAGGTACTGCTTCAGCCCCTTGACCTGAGCACCCTGGGAAGCGGTGATGCAGAGCTGGATGATGGCCAGGAGAGCAGGATACCAGTGCAAGAAAAGAAAACTCCCCCTCCAGTGGTGGTTGCTGGGATCTCCCACTTCAGATCCAAGGGCAGGGAGAAGCTGAAATTCCTTGAAATCCTTTGGCACATGGAGGCCACAGGCATGTCTCCTGTCCTCTCCAGCACAGGCATCTGAGGAAATAGCTCGGCATGGCTTAGTAAGGCCGAAATTTGCGCTGGGCTCGCATCAGTGCGATTCTCTGCTTGTCCTCCTCAAACTTCTTCCTCAACTGGGCAATGTCTGAAAGATGCAGAAAGAGAAAGAGGACAGGTCACACAGGAGCAGCAGATGTGGAGAGCTTCACTTCCACACACCAGGAGGGGCTCAAGTCCTTTTGCATCTGGGCCAAATGCCAAGCTGGGGCGCCGAGCCATTCATCTCTGGCAGTGTTGCAGCACCCCCTTGGGGAGGAAAGAGGATAGTTTTCCCTTTCAGTTGCTGCCTTTGTGCAGACTGAAGAAACATCTATTGGAAAGCCATGACCTGCGCACTCTCCCGCAAAATATTCCAGCAGCGCCCTTGCTAGGACAGGCGGTGGCAAGGGGCCCCCCTGTCAGCCAAGAGCTGGCAAGGTTATTTGCACAACCACCCAGCCAACTGCTCACCTACAGCTGGACCTGCCCTCCACTGAATGAAAAAGGACACTCTTTAAGACACAGTGTGAGAGACAAGAGATACAGGCAGGAGTAGGAGGAGACTCGGACACTCACGTTCTCTCTTAGTCTCGCGATGCTGCCAGGCATAGAAGTTGAGCAGCTCTTTGCGTGCCCTTTTCTGCTTCTCCCTCTCCAGCACCCGGAGGTTGGCAGCCTCTGTTCGGGGCAGGCCAGGCTTCCGGCCCTTCCGTGTTACCTTCACCCAGCCTTCCTCATCTGGAATGCCCTCCTCCTTGGCCGCTTTGGCTTCTTCCTGTAAAGTCAGGAGGGTGAGGCAGCTCAGTGCAGACAGGCTGCCAGCCAGCCTGATGCACAGCTCCTCTACAACCCCCCTTACACACATGCAATGCTACAGCTCCTGCTTCTGCACAAGATTTGAAGGAAGGTGTGGGACCAAGGGCGCATGCATTCAACTCTCAGTTACAACACTGCATGCCAGCCAGGACCCAATTTACTTGTTGGTACCTATTGTAAGCCCTGGGTGGAAGGGTCAGGTGTTGTGGACCAAACCAGGACCTGACCGCCCACCAGCAACTGGGAGCAAAACAACCTTGACAGCCACTGTGTTTCCCTCTGCCCTTTCCACTGAGGCCTGGGCACGAAGAGATGCTCTCTTTCTTTCCTGTCCCCAAACTAACTGCTTAGCTGGGTTGCCTCCCCAGCCTAGCCTCACCTCTTCTATCTTTTTGTCATAGTCTTGCATATAGGCGTCCACCTCAGCCTTCAGCTCTTCCTGATCCACAACTGAGGCCGCATAGCTGTCGATCCACTCTGAGACAGAGAGAACAGAAGTCAGCAATAGCCTCTGTTAAAAGCAAGCCCTAGCATGATGCTTTGGGCAGAGATGTTCTTTGGAGAGAACCGCTGTGGAGGTAGACATAGTCTGTTCACGTTTCTGTTCAGCCTCCCCACTGCCACAGCTCAACCAACTTGTGGCCCAGCCTACAGCCAGTAAGCGATGGTAAGAGCTTGCAACTTTCTCAATCAGGAGTGGGCTAGTCTTAAGCCAAAGAGATGCAACATTCAGGGCTGCCAATGGGTCACATCCAAAGTGCTATCATCTTGACAGACACCTGGTGCCTGTTACTGAGCCTGACTTCCATTTCGACGGTAAGACACAAACAGTTTCTCTGAATTTATGTGATACTGAAGAGGTATAGGGGAAAAACTACCCTTCCATGGTACCAAGTGATCCCATTCCCCCATAGGGTCACTGGACCAGACCACAACATCCAGAATAAAAAGATTGCTACCTTGTAATAATAAAGCAGGACAATGAAACACTGGATGTCACCCGTCTCAGTAAAAAATAGTCAGAATTCATCTGGGACATACAGGGTAGGGTTCAGCGATGAATGGGTATAGCTTTTCCCCAGCACTAACTAGCAGGAAGATAGCTAGGGCTGACTTACTGCTAATACCAGTTTTCACAGGGTGACTCTCTGTTGATATCAGCAAGGGACCTTCCCGTGACAGGGCCTTGGCTGCCTGGACACCAGCTGGTTTCCTGAACACCACATATGCTACTTGAAATCCCTAAAAGAAAAAGACAGCTAGGCCAGTCAGATACACCAGGGCAACTGGTGATGCAGAAAGGAGCTGCAGTACAAAGAAAATAAAATACAATACAATAAAAATGAAACCACAAGTTACAGTGGGATAGCAAAAAAAGATAATGTAAACTTAAATAAGTAAAGACATTGCCCAATGTGCCCAAATGGTTTCTCATATGAGAATGTTCCAAATAGTACCATTCAGTGCTTGCGATTTTTTCCCCTTCTGACCACTAAAGCATCAGTATTCTTCCCTGCCCCAAGCTTTACCGTTACAGTTTTGCGGTTGAAGAATTTGGACGTGAGTTTTTCTTTTTTCTCTCCCGGCTCTGGCTTCTCACAAATGTCCACAGACTGGACACGCCCGCAGCGGGTGAACAGCCTAGACAGAGAGTCCTAGGTGCAAAAAAATAGAGAAAACAAATGGTATAGGAAAGCAGGAGTAATTCCTCTCCCCACCCTCTCCCG